AATGGTTTCCTCCGTTGCAACAAATAAGGATTGCGTTTGAACTTCCTAATTCTCGGACAGGGACTTCTTCCGTCTTCAGCCCTGTCCCCAGTTGGGCTTTTCATCCAGTGTGAGTTTTTATCTAATTTCTCACGTAAAATGTCAGGGTGCTAGGGATCTAAAATTTTTCTAAGGTCATTTTCTGTTAGCTGATAAAAACCAAACAAATCAAAACTGTCTCTCCCTGTGTGTTCAAACCACCAGGTCTGCTAAGAAAAATGTCACGGGGAATGAAAATTTCTGGAAAAAAGACCAAGAGATAAGCAGAAGAGGGTCCATAATAAAAACAACCCGGTGGTTCTTTCTATAGACCCCATAGTCCATTCGCCATCTTGGAATTAGGGATTTTTCTTGTAGAATTTGGTTATTTTTCTCTCATATTGAAATGAAAACAGAAATGAATGAAAAGGAAATTTTAGGAGAGCTGAAGATCATAAAAATTGGAGCACCTGGGTGGCTCAGTCGGTTAAACGTTCTGATTCTTGATTTCAGCTCAGGTAACCAACCATCTCTTGGTTTGTGAATTTGAGCCCCACATGGGGCCCTGTGCTGGCATTAGGGAGACTGCTTGGGATTCTCTCTCTCCTCTCTCTCTCTCTCTCTGCCCCTCCCCTGCTCGCTCTTGCGCTCTCTCTAAATAAAATAAACTAAAAAAAAAAAAATCATCCAAATCTATTTGCCCTCTAAAAGTTTTAGGCACATGTGGGTTCTTATCTTTAACTTGGGGGCGGGGGGCTCAGGAGGGAGGTGGGGGTCAACGTATGAACAGAACTGAGCGCCCTTGAATCTAAGAGGGTATGTCATTCTTTCTCGCCTGAAACAAAGGTAGGGATGTCTTCATTCACCTGCAATTCTCTGTTGCCTTGTCAATCACAATTCTTTCAGTTTCTTAGAGGGAGTGGATCAAGGTTGCTCGGAACTGGTGGTTAGAAGTCGGTATTCTAAAGCTCAAAACGACTTTGTCTTCCGCTCCTCCTCCCCCACTTTGAAAATGTGTGAGAATAAAGGTTCCTGATGGCAGTGGTGATTTGTGGTTAATATCATTAGACTTCTGGTTTGGATTAATGCTGCTAATTAGTTTCTGTCCTTGACTTTTTCCAATTAAAGCATAGAGGCCTCGGTGCTAAACACCTGGGCAGATTACCTAATTAGATGACAGAAACATAGACAATTGTTCTCAGGTAATTATTTTAACTTTCACTGCTTGTTTGTTATTAAACACACCCATGAACAGGGCATCGTTTCTACTCTGTGAGCCACAGAACAGCTCCTGGGCTAAGAAAGTGGTACTGCCTTCCAAACAGAAAATGTTGAGTCCTTTTTTTTTTTTTTTTTTTTGGTAAATATGTGCAGAGGGGACAGATTTGGATTGTTTTTCACCCAGACATAGGAGAAAACGCACATGCTTGTGTCTCCCACTTTTTTCCCCACGTGGTCCTTTGAGAAGGCAATTTCCTTTGAGGAGTCAAGTAGAACTTAAAACTCTTTGGGTGCACTGTGCTCTTGGGCATTCTGGGAAGCGTGCTTATCCATCCCAAAGCTGAATACTATTTGGGGACCCGCACTGTGCTCTAAAGGTGGGATATGTTCGCTGTCTTAGAATTCAGAATTGAAAGCCCAGCTTCTACATTCTTTAAAAAAAAAAAAAAAAAAGACAAAAGTTACTGGGATCTTTTCCACCACGAGTGTGGACCCCATGGATCATTCCCAGCACAAGCGTGCTCGAGGGAAGGGTCAGGCCCAGATGCCGCTGAGCAGGAAGCACCTGCACTGAATCCTCCTGGGACCCAGGGAATAGTTTACCCTTGGAAGTGCACTGAAAGCTTGTTGCAACCAACCTTTGTAATTCACAGACCAGCCCAAGGACACCGCTGGCCACCTGCGAAGCATGCTCTGCCTTTCCCTACCTCGGCTTTTGCTCTAACTCCCCCCTCCAGCCACACCTTCCACCCCATCTTCATCCCTTGAGACTCTCTTCCTCCTCAGAGACCCCTCTCCCAGGGTATTCCTTCTCCCAAACCTTTCTGAGAACTCTCAACTGATTTATTTCTCTTCCCTTTTTTTTTTCTTTCTAAATTTTCAATGTTTATTTACTTTTGAGAGACAGAGAGAGACCGAGTGTGAGCCGGGGAGGGGCAGGGAGAGAAAGGGAGACCCAGAATCCGAAGCAGGCTCCAGGCTCCGAGCTGTCAGCATGGAGCCTGACGCGGGGCTCGAACTCACGAACCGCGAGATCATGACCTGAGCCGAAGTCGGACCCGTAACCGACTGAGTCACCCAGGCACTCCTATTTCTCTTTCCTTTGAAGCCCTGTGGCTTTGTGTCCCTTTCCTATGGAGTTTAGAATTCTGTTTAGCATTAACGTTGCCCGAGGTCCCCTCTCGGCGCTCTGGTATTAGCAGCCTCTGGACTCATTTGCTAAGCAAGTATTGACCGAGTGCTTGCTATGTGCTAGGTGGGCACCCTTCTAGACACCGAAGACTCAGTGATGGCAGAACAAATTCCCTGCCCGCATTTGAACTCGCAGCCCCGGAGGAAGCAGCCCAGACAGCAAACCCACCATAGCGAACCCACCAGAGATGTAATTACGGTCACACAGTGACGAAGGAGCTAATTCAGAAAATAATAACAAGCGCTCACGGAGCAAGACCTGTTGTCGTGGTCGCTACCTCTAATTTGTCGGATCCTCACAATAACGCTATGAATTAAGCACCACTAGGAATCCCATTCTAGCGAAGAGAAGCCGAGGCCCAGAGTAGTTAGGGAGCTTGCCTGGGGTCACACAGGAGTCAACAGCAGAGTCTTGCAGTCTGGCTTCTGAGTCACGCTCTCAGCAAGCACCACCTGCACTTCCAAGGTCCGTCCTTCCCTCTCCTCGCGGCCACAACCATGCCCAGAGCAGGACCTTGGTGGTGGCAGGCCCTTGATGGACTCTGTGGGTCACACGCCCGTGGGCTTCTTCCTCTAAAATGACTCCGGCGTCTGTCCCTTCTTCCCTCCCAACCCGCCACCCTAGATGACGTCTGTAAGATCTTGAACTGGGACCCCCGGCTTCTGCCTTTCTCAGTCTGGTCTTCCTGGTTTCCTGCATTTGAGCAGGTGCCCAGGCCTTGGGGAGGATTTGGCTCTATTGATGAGATGAAAACTAATGGGATACCCCCCCCAGCACTTAGGCTGATTCCAGGGAACCCCAGCAGGGTGTGCGGGGGTCTGGTCAGAGGGGAGCCGGGCTGCTCAGCCTGGGGGCAGCGCAGGAAGGCCCCGCCCAGGCTCCGATGCAGGCAAGAGGCTGCAGGGCCCGTCTCTGCCAGGAAGCCGGCTACCCAACCGGGTGGAATTGGGCTCTGCTGTGACCCTTGGAGTCCCTGGCTGCCACCTTGGACCCAAGTGCCATCTGACCCCACCTTGTCCTACCACCCATTTTCGTCCTGCCCCGTCTCACCTAGATGTCGTGAGCCTCCCTTATTTTTGCCATCTGGTGACGTGGATGGATAACCCTGAGGACCAGACAAGGGTTGAGGCTCCTCTTGGGCCAGTGATTCCCCGGTCTAAGGCTTCCCTGGTCTGTGAAATAGGCCAATAATAGGGCTGCTGTAAGGATTCAGCCAAATGACCGAGTACTGAGCCGAAGGCCTGGATCCCTGCAGGTGCTCAATAAATGCTAAGTCCATCTCTGCTCCAAGAGTTCTCCAGGCTGGCACGTGCGTGGGCTTCTAGGCCAGTCCTCCTGACACAAGTCCTGATCACGGTCACCGGTGCAGCAAACCCTCTTCTGCCCCCTGTGCACTCGAGAAGACGAAATGCAAATAACTGCCCCCGAAGTTGCCCATCAGCTTTCTCCTACATCCACCCCGCGGTCAGCGCCTCATTGTTCCCCCTCGTAAGGGGTCTGAACTTTGGTCCCATCACCCGTTCAAGAGGCTCCCCCCGCAATGGCCTATTTCTGCCTCCCGCTAACCGGATTTCACCTGTCTGCAGGACATGCGCCCCAGGGATCTGCATCCCTTCCCACCACCCACCTTTCGGGCCACAGCGCAGTCCCGGGAGCTGGTTTGGAGGGGTGGGCGCTCTGCGCATGGGTGACCATGTGACCCAGGAGGGCCAATCAGATTTGCTTCCCCAGGAATTTGGTCCTGGGGCGGAGTCAGGCGCCCCTGGGGGCTGTACTTAAACCTGGTCGTGGCTGCTGTGGACAGTCATCGCCTGCCGTGGGAGAGGCAAACCCAGCCCGGCACCTCCCTTTCCTCTGTTGCACAACACCTGTTCTCTTTGCCAGCGGTCTTATCATCCATGCTGCACATATGAATGGGGCTCACCAGCTTCCGCCCCCCCACCACCCCATGTGGATGGTTGCTAGTTCTTCTCTTACTTAGCACGGCCCTGGGCTCACAGGTGGAGGTCAGTTGTTGAATAAATGCACGAATGAATGTTGGGGAGAGACGTCCCAATGCCAGCTCAGGGAATCACTTGGAGAGTATGTTACATGTTGATTCCCTGGCCCCAGCTTGATTTAGTAGATCCCAGGTGGCACCTGAGAATCTGCTTTGTAACAAGATGTTGCAAATGTTCTGCTAAAGCTGGTCTGAGGATCACGGGAGACCAGTCAGCTGTGGACTCCTGGGTGTGGTAACGATACCAGGTCTCACGGAGCATCGCATGCAGCCCACGCACCAGGTCCCAAGCCTATGCCCAGGTCTTTCCACACACTGTCTCACCCTGCCTGAGAGTCCCGTGAGGTGGCTGTCCTCTGCTTGGGCAGTGTTGAGCCACGGGCAGGTTAAGGGCTGGTCTGAGCTTTCTGGCAAGGCGTCCACAGAAATGCTCTGGCCCTTGGGCTCCTTTGAGCACCCTTTCGTTGTTGGGAGAAGTCTCCATATCAGGGATCGGCTCCTTTGGAAGCACCCAGGCCCTTGCCTTCCCAGCCTTCTTTGCCAATGGGGCACGTTTGTGGGACCCGCCAGTCAGATGTCCCACTCGGGCTTTGGTTTGGGGCTGGCAGACACCAGGAAGCTGAATGTGCACAGGGCGCCTCTGGTTGGGAGGTCAGCGGAGACATCCGGCTCTCGGGGCACAGCCATGGCAGAAGCTCTAGAACCGCATGCAGCGTCTACGCTCCCGGGATGGAGCTGGGGGGGTCTCTGCCCGGCAAGAGTGGCACAGGGTGTTCACTGCGGCACCCCGTGGGCCGTGCTTTTGGCTGCAGAGCCGATGTTCTGGTCATCTGTTGCTGTATGAGGGACCACCCCCAAACCCTACAGGCTGAAAACAATGGCAAGATTTATTTTGCTTGTGAATCTGCCGTTTGGGCAGGACTCCACAGAGACGGTCGTTTTGCTTCCACCCAGCGTAGAGTGACTTGAAGGTGGGGGTCTGGGACCCTCTCAGGCTTGGTCACCTGCACAGCTGGCCGTTGCTGCCGACTTTGGCTGGGCCCTTTGCTGGGGCCAGGGCCAGAACACCTACGTGTGGTCTCCCATGCGGCTGCCTGGCTTCCTCACGCCATGGCGGTGGGGGGGTGGGGGTGGTGGGGAGAGAGGGAGCAAGCCGGGCAGAAGCCCTGTCGCCTAGCTTCAGATGCCATGCAGTCACTAAGGCCCACATTCGAGGAGGGGAATTAGACTCCGCCTCTGATCAGACAAATATCCAAGAATTTTCAGCCAGTTCTTAAAACCAGCACAGCTGACATATCTGGTTTCCTACCTTTCCTGGAGCTTCCAAGAAGTAACTGACTAACATACATATATATATATATATATACACACACACACATGTATATATATAATAATATTATATATATAAAATATATATACATATATGTATATGTATATATAATATATATACATATATTATGTATAATTATATTATATTATAATAATATTATATATACATAATATATGTATATGGTGTGTGTATAATGTGATATATTATATAATTATATATAGTATATATTATGTTCTATATATTTATATATTATTGTATCTATGTATACAATATGTATATAATTATATATATAATATTATATTATATTATACTATATATAATAATTATTATAATATATAATAAATTACATATGCTATATACTATATTATATATAGTATAACATATAACTAATGTAATTAATATATCTATATAAATATATATTTATATTTAAGCCATCTAGAGTGGTTTCTATTATCTTTATTCATACAGCTGGTATGGGTGGGGTCAGGCTGCACACCACATCTGTCTGATGCCAAGATCTGTTCTCTGAAGCCTACATTGTTGAGCTCCAGGAGGGCAGAAGAACAGAGCCCTTTAATAATAGAGCTATTAATGGAATTATTAATGGCCAATTAATTAACCAATCAAAACTCACACATGTAACGAGCACCTCCCATTTGTCAATTCCTGAAGATACCACAGTGAAACACTTCCCTGGATTATGTGCACAGTCCGACAAGAGGAACAACAGGCAGTGGGGCTACCTGTGGTGACGGGTGCTAAAGCAGGGAAATTTCAGAAACATAGGTGATATACCTAATCCAGGTGAATTGGGGATTGAAGAAGTTGTCTTAGGGAAATAACATTAAATCTGGGACTTGATGAATATGAATGAATTAGGCTAGCGGTGGTGGGGGTCATGGCAGTGGTAAAAGAAAGCTCTAGCAGAGAGAACAAGATGTGCAAAGGCCCTGGGGCAGGAAGAGCCCCCCCCCCGCCCCTACACACACACACACACACTTAGAGGAGTGAAGGGAGTTCTATGTGGCTGGAGCACCATGGGAGCAGGTCAAAAAGGGCCTTCAGTAGCCTGTCCCTAATTTAAGGGCAACCATGATGTTGGACGTCAGAAATACTTAAGGAAAAAGTAGAATTATTTGATAAAGTCAGGGACCCACATTTAAATTCCACATATTCACATCATCATATCGGAATATCATTCTGAAACTGCCTCAATTGATGCCCATTCATTCATTCCACATAAATTTCTTTCACAGTCTACTACGTTCCAGGCCAAACCCAGCTCAGTTTGAGAAAAGAATAGCCAGCATGGCAGTGTTTGTTTCTCTGTGACCCGTAAGGGGAATGTTGCTGTCTTCTCAACGGATGTTCCCGTCACCCTGCAGTCGGGAGGAGGTGCCCAATTCGTGCCAGCAGGGTGGTGACAAATGCCAACTGGCCAGGGTCACACATGTGGTGCCATGAAGCTACCCAGGCCTTACCATCTCGGCTGTAAGCAGGCGAAGCCAGCTGGCTGCCTTCTTGCTGTGGAAGCCCCAGAACATCAGCATTTCTCCACACTGAAAGGGAACAGCGAACAGGCTTTTGGATTGACAGCTGCAAAGAGGCGGATATGCCTGAGAATTGAAGAAGGCCTGATGATGGGGGTAGACGCGTAGCCAGACCACCCCCACCACGTCTTCCTGTTTCTAGTTGACCCTGCCATCAGGAGGTTCTGCGAGTTCCCGCTGGCAGGGCACCGTGGGAGACGATGGCTGAACTCCTCTTTGCACAGATGTGTGCACGGGTCCCGGACCATCAGTTGCAGAAGCGAGTGAGAATATAAGGCTAAAGCCCCAGGGTTTCGTTGCTCGCGATCAACATGGCCAGCACCCTTGGTTCGTCCAAACAAAGAAGGCCAACGCTAGTGGGCAGGCTAGTGAGGGGCTGGCAAACTGAGGTGTCTTCACCGTGCAGGAGCTGGTGTCCTGTGCTGTGCCATGTGGCCCACCTGAGAGTCTCACGCAGTAGTTGCCAGTGTATGCAAAGCGGGAACTGACCCATGACTTAACCGATGCAGAGCAATAAGGGGAAATTCTTAGCTTGGGCTGCTGTAACACAGAAGATACCAACACGATACCATAGATGGAGTGACTTAACCAATGGGAAATGTATTTCTCGCAGTTCTGGATTCTGGGAAGTCCAAGATCAAAGTCCAGTCCAGGCAGGCCTCTTCCCTTGACTTTAGGTGGCTAGCGTCTTGCTGTCTGTCTGCTTACATGACCTCTTCTTTGTGCACTCAAGGAAGGAGATAGAACAAGCTCTCTGGTGTCTTTTCCTCTTCTTATAAGGGCGATAATCCTATCATGGAGGCCTCACCCTCATGACCTCATCTGCTCCTCATTACCTCCCAAAGACCTCATCTCCAGATGCCATCACATTGGCGGTTAGGGCTTCAACATATGAACTTGGTGGAGGGGGTGGGGAAGACACAAGCATTTAGCCCATTACAGCAATGGTGGAATAAGCTTGCTGGCCTGCATGAAGGTCAACCTGTAGGAACTCTCTTTTCATAGTTGATCAATCATCTGAGAATTTGAGAGGATCATGTGGAATACAGGAGTACATAGATTTCACCTTATTGAGTCCAAGAAGCTTGACAGATTTCGCTTTATTGAGTCCAAGAAGCTGGATAGATTTCATGGGTAAGCCTCTGGATCTCCGATGAAGTGGATGGAATTCAGAGGTTGCAAACATGACACCAGAAAAAAGCAAGTCAGCGTTTAAATATTACAAGATCTCACATAAAATTTTAGAGTTATGACTTCTCTTGAAGCATGGCAAAGATCTAGCTCAGTCTTGACATGTGACAATGGCTACAGCAGCAGCTGCCCACTGCTGGTCATTTTTAGCTTCCCCCACCCCCTGCTTTGGTGGGGTTCCCTGGGGAGCCGACTCTGAGATGGGAATTTGCAGTCAGGAGTTTTTTGGAGAGTGGTCTTAGGATCATCACTGGTAGTGGGGAGGAAGAGGGAAGGGTTGGATGGGGAAGTGGAATCATGATGGGGCGCATCGGTCACAACCAAGGGCTCAGTCTATCCCACAGAAGGTAGGATGGTCTGTCTGGGTTGTTTCGCTGCAAGGGCGGGAGCCAGACTTTTACGTCCCACATGGAACATTTCTGGATGTGGGCTGCCCCGGGAAGGGGCATGCCCTTGGTCAAGATAGCTATTTTTTTCGTTGAGGGCAATCCCCAAAGAGTGAGTTGGTGAGAGCCACATCAGAGACCAGTGGGTCAGCTCTGTGGGGGGATCTGGGCAGCACAGCACGGCATCTATCACACCACCACCCCTTTCCTTCCTGAGCTGGAGCCATGAGCCACTTGTCATGAGCAGCTGTCCTTGTGCTGCTGTCTGTCTTATGATAGGAGGCTGTTTCTCTTTTACCTGAGTCTCCAGCAAAAGTGACAATGAAACTTCAGGGAAGGCTGCCTGTTTCAAAAAAAAAAATGGGAGAACACATCGGTCCCTTTGGGAGTGAAGAATGTCCATTCCCACGTGATTGATTTGCAAACACTCCACCCACTCCGTTGGTTCCCATGACTTGCCTTCGCCCCTGTTAGTGTTAGGGTGTGTGACCCCCGGGAAGGCATGGGCAGAGCTGGAGTTAGGGGAGCCATTTTGCTCATGGGATTCTCTTGGAAGGAACCTTTTCTTTTTAAATATTTATTTATTTTTGAAAGAGCACGAGCAGGGGTGGGGTGGAGAGAGAGGGGGACAGAGGATCCGAAGCAGGCTCTGCACTGACAGTGAGCCTGATGTGGGGCTTGAATCCATGAACTGTGAGATCATGACCTGAGCCAAAGTCGGATATTCAACTGACTGAGCCAGCCAGGTGCCCCTGGGAGGAGCCTTTTCAACAGGAGCCAGGCTTCTCTGACTACACTGTTCTTCGAATTTATGCCTAGGATGGACCAGACCTGGCGGGAAGGGCTTTTAAATGGAGTTCCTCTCGAGGCGTTGATTCTGCAGATCCCTGCAGTAGATTCTCTTAGTTCTCTATTGGCTCTACCAGAGCAGTGTCGTGTTGTGTACTTCTGCATAACGTATCACTCCAAAATTCCATGACGGAAAGCGATAATAATGTATCAGTTCTCAGGACTCCGTGGTTTGGGAGGTCGGACAGGGCTCGACGCTGCCGAGCTGGGATGTCAGCTGGAATCACACGTGTGGCTACATTCACTTGGGAGCTTGACTGGGGCTGACATACCCAAGGTGGGTCCTCTCTGCATGGCTTCTCATCCTGCAGGAGTCTGGCTTAGGGCAAGGCAGCTGAGCATCGAGAGTGAAAACAGAGACGGTGAGACCCTTTAAAATCCAGATCTAGAGCTGGCAAGGGTAACCTGCCAACATGCTGTTGGTCAAAGCAACTCATAAGACCAACTCAGAGTCAAGGGGAGGTGAAACAGACCCTTCAGTGGAGGGACAGGAAGAATGGATGGCCATCTGAAATCACTGTAGCCACAATGCTCCCGTTCTATAGATGTCTGATGAACCACTATTAGAAGCAGATAAAGAAAAAGAAAGGCACGTAGCCATCCCCTGGGTCTGGAAGCACCTTTGGGAACCCTTTCCTATGCTTCGTGATACTGGCCATACATGCCCTCGCACAGGTATAGAAAGATAGACTGGCTGTCTCCAGGGAGGAGTTTTTCCAACAAACCCTGGGGAGGAATCCACAATTCTGTAAATTTCAGCATTAGGAGAGTTTGACGTTTAGCTTAACACCCCTATGCATAATTTCATTCAATTGCTCCCAGTTGTGATCATCATCATAGGCGTCACGTCATCATTACTGTCATCAGCAGTGCAGAGCCTTTATTAGGCACCTAATTGCATGTGGTGTGGTGCTGGGAGATGTAGAGCAGGTACAGGAAGGCACCACGCGGGTCTGCATGGCTGGTTCCTGAGGCTGAAGCAGAGGAGCCAGACTCACGGGGACGCCGGGCAGGCCAGGACCAGGAGTGAGAACGAGCACCCAAAGGCATGGCGACAAATGGCTTACGTGATGGGAGGCTCAGCGAAAGCGACTTTGTGTCGGAGAACAGCCGCCCACAAGTTCTACTGCTTCTGCCGGTTATCAAGGGTCAAGGTCAGTGTGCAGAAAATTCACTCACAGAAATGGGCCGGGACAGATTCTGATTTTGCTGCAAGAAGCAGAAACAGAGGCAGGACAAACATCTACAGAAAGAGGACGGTGAGATTCACACAGGGCCCAGCTCACGCACCCACATAGAAACATCACGCAATGGGCGAGTGCTTGAGCCCAGAAATGTGAGACACCAATGCCAACATTCGGCTGTGCCAGACCAACCAATTTTGGGCGAACCAACTGCGGTACAAAGACTGGAGTGAAATTGTAATAAATCTATAGGGAAACAAAGACTTCCAGAAATCATCTACAAGTTCGGCAAATGACTGTGCGACCATCCAGGGAGGCGGTCACTCAGCCCCGGGGATCATGCGGTGAGTTGAGTGTTGGTGACTCATCCGGCTTCCATGCACTGCTCGATGACCTTGGGCTCATTTTCTCACCGGTAAAGTGGAGACGACCACGCAGTTGCTACCCCACAAGATAAGATAACGTATGAGCAAGTGCTCGGGAAAGTGTAAAGCAAATAGAAACATTAATCTTCCAAGGGAGGAGTAAGCACATTTTAGTGGCAGTTGAGGTAAAGGGAAGTTCACAGAGAAACAGGGCAGGGAGGTGAATCACGTTTACCTCTGGAGAGTGTGCAACGTGTCCAAGAGTCTCTGTCCTCTGGGCTTCTCTGCACGTGAGAAACAGGTTCTGCTCCTCCTAGGGAGATTTCATGGCAGAAATAGACTTTCAGAAACTTGCTGTTGCACTCAAATTATTCTTTCTTCCAAAGTTCACTTCATCTCTGCTCACTCTCCCTCGCTCTTGAGTGCTTGAGTCTACCTTTTTTTAAAGTTTATTTATTTATTTATTTTGAGAGAGACGGGGGCAGAGGGACGCGGAGAGAGAGAATCCCCAGCCAGCTCCGTGCTGTCAGCGCAGAGCCTGACGCGGGACCCGAACTCATGAACTGTGAGCCAAAACCAAGTGTACAAATCAGTTAAAAGTTGAGACAAATGTATAGTGGTATGGTTAATATGCGTGTCTGTAATTGTTACAAAATTTGTGGGTAGTTTTATTTTTTTATTTGTTATCTTTCATGGTGACCTGAGCCAAAACCAAGAGTCGGACGCTTAATCGACTGAGCCGCCCAGACGCCCCTTGGGTCTACCTTAATATGGGCTGGAACGTAGATGGAGTGGCCCTCCCATAAGAAGGTGGAAATTTTACCTGAAGCTGTACATGTCACCTGGGGGATGTGGCATGCTGAGAATGCCAAGTGGCTTGTGGCCAGCTGTCTCCAAGTTGAAGGAATGGCCATGCCTGACACAGGCCAGCCCCAGGAGCTCCCGAAGAAACACTTCGCTTTCTTTCTTCCCTCCCATCTTTGATACAGGCAGGCGTCACTGACCGTGACTTAGGCGCTCATCCCTCCATCAAACTTCCGTGGAAACCCGGAAAGCACCAGGCACCGTGCT